CAGGAGCCACTAGGGAACGCCACCAGCCAGGAGCCACTAGGGAACGCCACCAGCCAGGAGCCACTAAAGACCCCAAGGCCAGAGGAATGGGCCAGGAGGGCCCAACACAGGGCAGGGTCTGCCCTCAGAAGCTGTGGGCACAGCCATGCCACTGACAGCTGCCCGGCAGCAGGGGAGATGATGGCTTGGCATCATCCCTCTCCCAACTCTGAACTCACTCTGGGGCTGAAGCCAGTTCCAGCTGAAGCCAACCGGGAGACACACAGGAAGAGAGGCTGAGAGTACAATCCAGCAGGCTTGCAGAGCACAGAGAGGGGTAGGAGCAGGCAGAGGAGAGATCTGGCAGAGGAAACCACACCGTGTCTGCCACTCTGGCAGTCTAAATGCTTTTAACCATGCTAAACTACTTCAGACCTGCCACGTTACACTCTGAACTACAGGACCACAAGTTCAGGTATAAAACTTTTAAAACTGTGCACAGACTGAATTGTAAGTGAGGAAAGTCTTATCAGGATGTGGTGTAAGATCCAGAGGAACACGAAATCAACATGCTTGCACAGCAGCTGTCTAGTGCCCAGCACAAGAGCTGCCCCCAGCTCTCCCGGCACTGCCACGCCAGAACACCCCTCATCAACAGGGCTCCACCTACCTACCACCCTGCCCCAGCCTGGGCAGTCCAGCTGCACAATGTTCTCCTTCTGCTTCCCTCGTAAGCCACCCTCCCACCTCCGCCTTTCTGCTCAGCTCAGGAACGCCATGGCGCCCTCAGACCCGGCTCGGGAACGCCGCAGCGCCCTCAGACCCGGATCGGGAACGCCGCGGCACTCTACTCACATCTCCAGATCAACCTGGACCCTCCTTCCACTCCCCGACTCCTTCTTCTAGGTCTAAAACAACAAGAGCAAAAGGTCAACTGCACCTTTGACCTTTCTTCCATGTGGCCTGCACAGCACAACCACAAATGGGGACCTAAGACAAGATTAAAAAAAAAAACAGGATCAACAAGCTTCACACTTGTGAGGAGCCAGTTTTAGCAAAGGGATGGAATGGCTGCCATCTGAAGACACGATTCTGCGTCGTTTCACCACTGCTCTTACACTATTATTTCCTAGTACTTTTCATCACGTTTCACTCATACAGTGAAAAAGCCAAGAGTCAGCTGTGGGGACAAGCCCTAGGAAGCAGGCTGCTATTCAAAACATTGACATTGAAGAATAAACATTCAGAGCGCCAAACGAAATTTTAGAAAGCAACCATTTTAAGTCACAAAGTGTCTAAATATGTTTTCATCCAATGGCTAATACTAACAAATACAACAGCTTTTATTGGATGAAATCTCCCTTCGGGGATTTTGGTAAGGCTAAGGATCTTGAGAAATATGGTATCCAATAAGCAAATCTTTTTAACATTCAATGTGTAGAAAATGGTCTTAAAAATGGAGAAAGATTTAAGAAAAGCAAATGATAGAGGAGTTCAAACTAATTTGCCTGGAGTGGACAAAAAAGGTTCCTATTTCTTATTCTATAAATACTACAAAGATAATATTGCAAAATTACGGGGAAAAGCATGCTAAAAATAGTGAATCCAAGTCAGACAATTAAGGAATCAAAATGGGCAGCGAGTGAACTAAGCTTGTTCCAAGAGCACAACATAACAACAGAGGAAGACTCACAGTGAGAGTTGAATCACCAGCAGCACCAGGCCTAACTCAGTCATTTCCACTGTGAGACCCTGACAGTATTTGCTGCACAAAGCACTAAACCGCTGGATTCTGGAATCTAAAACTAGATTCACTTTCTTCTCCATGAAAGGCGAGAAAGCTGGATGAGCTAAGATCCTTTGTGGTCAGAAATCACAAAAATCTCACCCTAAGATTCAACTAATGTATTGGTATACAAGCTGCCAAAATCTTTTATCAAAATACAAGGCGGGGCTTGGTGGCATGCACCTGCAGTCCCAGCTACTTAGGATCGCTTGGGCCCAGGAGTTCGAGACCAGAAACTACATCTCAAAAAAAAAAAAAAAATGTTGAAAAAATCATTTATTTTCAAGTATCAATATCCAATCACATTCAAAATCAATTTTTTCAGTTATTCGCTATGGCAGTACAAATTATGACCCAATGAATCAAGTAAGCGACCAGATAAAGTTTAGCTATTACATATAGATAAGTCAAGGCGTCTACTGGTGTGCTTCCTCCCGGCAGTGTAATTAGCAACTACAATACAATCTCACAAATTCTGTTGACTTTCCCAGTGTAGCTTCATTCATCTTCATAAGCAATTTAGCATTAAATCCAGCTAAAACTTCTAATACTAAAATTCACACATACACACACACACACACACACACACATGCAATCTACAATTAAAAGCAATTACCAATTACAGAAAAGTTTAACAGATACCACAAAAGGCATTCAAAGGTTCCTATATCACCCGTCATATCCTCAGCAATCAGCGCAATGACTTTCAGAATTCCTCACAGTACCTGTGAATGAAGTTTTCTGTGGAGTTCCGAAAATAATGCAGCATCTGCTTCTCTTCGTTGTCGAATAACTGAAAAGTCATGAAGAAAATAAGCATGGTAATTACAAACACCAAAATTCATTTTTATGACACTATTTCACCTACAATAATAGATAACTTACAAGTGATGAATTCAGAGTTGAAAGCCATTGTTAAATTAGATGATGAGCAGCTTGTGACCTCTATGAATCTGAGCAGTTTAACCTCCCTGACATTTGTAAAGTATGAAAAATATTAGGCTGGGATCGAAGAGTTTATGTGAAAATTACGTAAAATAATACAAATCATGGGATTACTTACAGTCCATCTACAAATGTTAATAAACAGTAAGGTAAACAATCAATGCAATTAGTTAACAGTGGCCACCTGGAGGTAGGGATGGAGAGTGAAAACATCTGGAATCCTGAATCCAACGGCAGTAAGAAAGTACAATATTCATGGCCATTTATTTCACTTGGAAACTAAACATCCTAAATATTTTTGTTAAGATACACAGCAATGTTTCATCTTGTTTTAGTATTAAATGTCATAATCAATTACAGTTTCAAAATAAAATTCAAAATAGCTTATTAATTTTCATCCAATTCATTTTATAACAAATGTCTTTGGCTGTCCCAGCTACACTTACAAATTATCTGAAAGCAGCTGCAGTGGTTCCATTCCATGAAGGAGGAGAAGCTGCAGTCTTATTGGGTTCCCTGGGGGAAGAGAACCCAATGTGCTCACATTTACAACACTGCAAACACCACCTGTGCATAGGGGCCTCTCAAAGAAGCTGTAACACCCACTAGAAAAGGTGCCACTTTCAAAGGCTAACTTATAACTTCAATACTCTCTATTGAACCTTCGTATTTATCCCATTTTAGTACTGTGACTTTATAAAAAGCTCATCAGCCAATCACATTTAGCCTTAAATGCTCTAATTCATTTGTGCGAAGATAATGACTGACTTTACAGCCAACCCCGTATTCTTCAGCTAAAAAAGGATGTTGGTATGAAGCACATACCAGAGATGACATAATCTAATCGTAACTGTATATTCAACTCTTCCTATACAGAAAAGGAAAGCTATTCTAAAATATACCATGTAAAGTGCATTAAACAAAACAAATGCACTTAAAATTTAATATAATTTACTGTATTTAAAACATATAGATTCCAAATACAAGGAAGTGATGCTCTTTCTATAGAATGAGATCAACACACTAAAGTCTGAAAAAAACAACCTGGCACTAATTCATGCATGCACTATAGTCACAGCACAATGAAATAAGAATACAAATGAACACAAGTGATGCTTCTCTATTAAATGATAACAAATCTCCAGTTAACAATGTACCCCACCTGCCAGTGTGAAAAAGGAAGGAACTGACAGGTGTTAGTTTTGTCACACATGATCAACTTTGCTATTTGTTTCAATATAAAACATACTAGCACTTTATATGTGAGGTCGGTTATATCAAATGGAATATTAACTCTTCTGTATTATTCCAGAAAGCAGAGCTACCATAACCCAACTAATCTATCAACAACTGTAATCAAATTTCTAACGTCTAAGCATTTGTAAAATATGACAAATTAACAGTGCCCATCACATAAGAAGAGTGACTCGGCGCTGAAGGAGGTGGTGCTCACTGGAGGTTCCCAAGAAGAGCTGGGGACACCCCAAAGGCACCTGAGTCAGTCAGTACACAACATGCCTTAATCTCAAAAAACACACAGAAAACACAAACTCTATACTGTTACAGTTTTCTTCTTTAAAAGGAAAATTCCAGACTCCCTGGAATATCCACTGCAACAATGTAGCTGTCAGTTACTGAACTATGAGTTTAAACAAACTTTATTTTTAGCTATTCTGATACATAGGTGTAATATTCTCACCATGAGCCCATGCAATGGACTTTGTAAAGGAAAAGGTCTGTTGTTATATAGTACCTAACTGTTGGAGTCCTCATTAATCATCTAAATTGTGTAAAATGATTACAGTTCAAGAGGAGAGCACAGTGTTCTTATGTTCAGTTTTATAGACATGAAAGGAAAACAAATTTTAATACGTTAACAGCAGTTAAAATTCTCCATTTTTATTCCCCATCTTAAATAATACACGCACACTCAGCAATACCGAAGCTCTGCATCGTAACAGCAGATGGATCATTTCCAACCCCATTGCTCATCCAGCCCTGGACAAGCACAGGCCCTGGGTCTAGGTGAAGTACTCCCGGGTCACGGCCTCAACTCGATCCACAGCTGACTCGCCTCCGGTGCGGCCACACAGCTCTAAAATGGGACCTCCACAGACCACAGGCCACACAGTGCATAATGCAACAGCCAGGGGTGGGAAACTGTGCCATGCAGACTTCTAGAAGGTGTATTACTGAGACCCAAGGCAAGCGTCTACTCCACTTGGGCAGTTTCACAGTGAGGCCCAAGCAGGGAAATGCACTCACCTTCAAGCAGGCCTCTTTTCTAGTCCAACTGAAAAGCACCACTGGGTTTGGCTTATACAGCCCAGAGAAATGTAAGGATGGAGAGCTGGCCACCTGGAAAAAACACCTTTCAAACGGGACTTCTCATGTGTGGCTGCTCATTGCTCAGAGCCAAGCTTCCCCCTCAGACTCTCCAGAGGTGAAGCGGGGCCGCAGAGCCCTGCCAAGGATGATCAGATAATCTACTAACCAACCAAGAGCTGACAAATGGAAAGCTTTCTTCTCTAAGCTGCCAGGATTTGCAAAAGCTTTATGCATCATCTGGAATTAAAAATTCTAAAGTACTATGTTCTAATAGTTCTGACTCTACAACAGAACCGACCTGTCCTTATTTTGTACCTATATTAAATTGTGCTTGGGAACTACATACACACATAAACACATGCATACATACATCTGCTGAAGCTCTGACAAATTTAAGAATCCAACACATAACATTTAAGAAAAATACGTACGCTCTTTCTTGATTTTTTCAGCTACTAGAAATTCATCTCTTTCAACAGTTGGGGCAAAGTTGCTGCCAATGACCCGCACGGCATACTGGAACTGCTGGGCTACATCAGCTGAAAGTCAAACAAAAGGACGTGGATTGTTACCAACCAGGTTAAGTTCTGGTCACCTGAAGCTTCGAGTTCAAGACAGTGAAATAGATACATCTACCTTCCACCGCCCCGAGGTCTTAACTGAGAGGACAGAAAAGCTATTAAGAAATCAAAACAGAATGAGTGAATGAAATTAGAGTTCAATAAAATAAGAATCAGAACAGCAACACACCAGAGAGTCTGAAAAATCCTAGATGATAAAAAACCAAACTGGCTCAATAACCACAAAAAGAAAAGGAAGAGAAAGGGCCACATCCCAACACATGAACATGAGGAGGAGGCCTGGTCAAGAGAGCCTCTGAGAAGCTCCCAGGTCAACAAACACAAAAGCCAGAGGTGGGTCACTCAACAGTCAAAATAGACAGTTAGTTTGCATGTGCACCTCTAGATGAAGATAACAGCTTAAACACACCTGCCTCCACTACCTTCAAAAATGCCATCAAGTTGAGGATAAAGGGGTTTTTTAAATTAAAACCATAAACCAACAAGGACAAAGAAAACAAGGCAGAAAGGAATCAGAGAGAAGGCAAACAATGTGAGAAGCTGGATTGCAGATGGTGTGTGGTAACTGATTTAAGAGGACAGTGAAACCTGAACACTAAGTGTCTGTCAGGTTCAGAATAGGGAGAGGGGAGTGGGAGAAACAAGTGTCAGGAAGAAATACAGTTCCCACTACAGAGCCCAGGGAGGCTCAGGACAGGAAGAAACGATGCTCTCAGGATGTAGAAGCAAGCAGGGCTGAAGGGGGAGCCCTGGCTGCAAGCCTGGATGGAAACAGACTCCTGGGTCCCCCATCCAATCCCACACTGCCAGACAACCACCGAGACCTGCCCAGCAAGCCTGCTCTGGATGGCCAGCAGGGTGGCCCTGGTCACTAAGTAAAGGTAACAGGCAACTCAGGGACCCCCAGTCCTTCCTGGAATTCCGGGATGCACAATTTGTCTGTGGGGAGACTGATCAGCCCAAGAGAAAAGAGACAGACAGTTATGGATGGGGATCCCCAACAAGCAGAAGGGTCTGTGTCCAATTCAGGCAGACCACAGAGATCTGCAGATCTGGTTCCAATATTAAAGAAAATACTGCAAAAAGAGAGTCACTTGAACTTTTTGATTTCCCAGTGCATATAAAAGTTAGGTTTAATATACTGTCGTCTATTAGGTGTGCAACAGCATTCTGTCCAAAAAGAAAAAAATATACACACTTTAATTTAAAAATACTTTATTGCTAAAAAAAAAAAAAAAAATGCTAACAATCATCTGAGCCTTCAGCAAGTCACAATCTTTCCCGGTGGAGGGTCTCGCCCTGATGTTGACGGCTGCTGGCTGACCAGGGCGGTGGGTGCTGAAGGCTGGATGGCTGCAGCAATTTCTTAAAATAAGACAATGTAGTTTGCCACATCGATTGACTCTTTCATGAGATTTCTCTGCAGCATGTGATGCTGTTTGATAGCATTTTACCCACAGCAGCACGTCTTTCCAAATGGAAGCCAATCCTCTCAAACCCTGCCACTGTTTTAGCAACAAAGTTGATGTAATATCCTAAATTCTTTGTTGTCATTTCAACAATGTTCACAGCACTTCAGCAGTAGATTCCATCTCAAGAAACCACTTTCTTTGCTCATCAACGAGAAGCAACTCCTCATCCATTCACATTTTATCATGAGATTGTGGCAATTCAGTCATTCACATCTTCAAGTTCCTCTTTGTAGTTCTACTTCTCTTGCTATTCCCACCGCATTTTCAGTTCTTTCCTCCACTGAAGGCTTGAACCCTTAAAGTCACCCATGATGGAAGCTAGCTGCAGTGGCTCATGCTTGTAATTTCAGCACTCTGGGAGGCCAAGGTGGGTGGATCACAAGGTCATGAGTTTAAGACTAGCCTGGCCAACATGGTGAAACCCTTTCTCTACTAAAAAAAAAAAGACACCAAAAAAAAAAAATAATAACCAGGCATGGTGGTGGATGCTTATAATCCCAGCAACCAGGGAGGCTGAGGCAGGAGGATCACTTGAAACCAGAAAATGAAGGTTGCAGTGTGCTGAGAGGAGCTGCTGCACTCCAGCCAGAGCAAAACTCCGTCTCAAAAAAAAAAGCCACCCATGATGGTTGAAATCACTTTCTTCCAAATTTCCGTTAACACTGACAATTTGACCTCCTCCCATGAATCACAAATGATCTTAATGGCATCTAGAATGATGAATCCTTCCCAGAAGATTTTCCATTTACTTTGCCCAGATCCATCAGAGGAACCACGACCTATGGTGACTATAGCCTTATAAAATGTGTTTCTTATATGGTAAGATTTGAAAACTGAAACTACTCTTTGGTCCATGGACTGCAGAACAGATGCATGTTAGCAGGCATGAAAACAACTCCAGATGCATTCTCAATGACAATAATATTTTGAAAGGAATCTTTTTCTGAGCAGTAAACCTTAACAGTAGGCTTAAAATATTCAGTACACCGTGCTATAAAAAAAAGATGCGCTGTCATCCAGGCTTTGTTGTTCCGTTTATAGAGCACAGGAAGAATTCATGTAGCATTAAGGGCCCAGGATTTTTGGAACGGTCAAGAGCACTGGCTTCAACAATTTCAGTCACCAGCTGCATTAGCCCCAGACACGAGAGTCAGCTCTGAAGGAAGGCTCTAACTTCTCTCTAGCAATGAAAGTCCTAGATGCCATCTGCTTCCAATAGAAGGGTGCTTCATCTACACTGAAAACATGTTAGTGTAGCCACCTTCCTCAATGACCTCAGCTAGATCTGGATACTTGCTGCCGCTTCTCCATCAGCACGCGTTGCTTCACCTTGCACTTTTACGTTATGGAGAGAGCTTCTTTCTTTCCTTCAACCTTATGAACTAAAAACCACCGCTGGCTTCTAGCTTTTCTTCAGCAGCTTCCTCACCTTTCTCAGCCTTCACAGAGTTAGGGTCTTGTTCCAGATTAGGTTTTGGCTTAAAGGAATGCTGTGGCTGGTTTGATCTTCTATCTAGACCACTCAAACTTTCTCCCTATTAGCAATAAGGCTGCTTCAGTTTATTACTCCTGTGTTCACTGGAATAGCGCTTGTAATTTCCTTCAAGAACTTTTCTATTCAATCACAACTTGACTAACTGGCATAAGAGGCCTAGCTTCTCACCTATCTTAGCTTTTGGCATGCCTTCCTCACTAAGCTTAACCATTTCTACCTTTTGATTTAAAGTGAGAGACATGTGATCTTCCTTTCACTTGAACACTGATTTCTTTTTATTACTTCTTCTCAAAAAAACAAAAAACAGGATACATGTGCAGAAGGTGCAGGTTTGTTACATAGGTATATGTGTGCCATGCTGGTGTGCTGCACCTATTGACCCATCCGCTAAGTCCCCTCCCCTCACCTCCCACCCCCAGCAGGCCCTGGTATGTGAGAACTCTGTGTCCATGTGTTCTCAGTGTTCAACTCCCACTTATGAGTGAGAACATGTGCTTTCTGGTTTTCTGTTGAACACTAATTTCACTTGAACAGTAAGAGGTCACTGTAAGGCTATTAACTGGCCTAATTTCAATATTGTTGTGACTCAGGAAATAGGGGAGCCTGAGGAGAGTGGGGGTAGATGCGGAACGGCTGGTCGGCAGAGTAGCCAGAACACACACAACATTTTTTTTTATTAAGTCTGTGCACTTCACGGCACCCCAAAACAATTACAATAGTAGCATCAAGATCGCAAGTGACACATCACTGCAACAGATATAATAATCATGAAAAAGTCTGAAATACTGTGAGAATTTGCAAACATGACACAGAGATACAAAGTAAGCACATGCTGTTGGAAAAACGATGCCTAAAGACCTGCCCAATGCATGGTGCCAAAAACCTTCAATTTGTGAAATAACGCAGTATCTGCAAAGGATAATAAAACGATGTGTGCCTGTTCTCCACAAGGAAGCTCAGCACTCACAAACGCTGCCCTACCCAAGACCCACCAGCCAACTTCACTCTTGAAGATGAAAAGAATAGGTATCACCAGACATGCGAGGGCATCATCTAACACAAAAGGGAGACAAAAACAAGAAGGAAAAAAGGAAACTAAGAAAAAGTAGCAACATAGGAAATAAGAAAATGGGGGAAGATGTACAAAAACAAAGAGGCTATAATGGCCTACAGGATTAGACATAACACATCCACAAAATGAAACAGAATGCCATAAATTCAGAGAAGACAAGCTCTTGAATATTAAAAGTATGAAGGCAGATGTTTTTTAAAATAAGTAGAAAGGCTGTATTTATAGTTGAAGAAGCCTCTCAAACACTAAAACAAAAAGGTAAAAAGATGGAAATTAAGACAGCCAAGACAAGGAAATCACCAGATCAGGCCAGGCAGAAGTGGGGAGGGAGAAACCTGGAATGGAGTAAATGACCAAAGAAGTCATACAACACAGCGCCTCAGAAAGGATGGGAGAGGAAGGGCCTGGGAAGTGACACGGGTCACAGCAACTGGCTTACCCCAGAATAAAAACTCAGGCTCTCACCTCTGCTGAGGCAAACTCCCAATCTGAGGAACTCCCACCCCTGAGTACAAGAGACCAGGGAAAAGAATGGCTGCCCATTACAAGCTCAACAGCAAAAGCATGTCAAGGGTCAGGAAGAAATATTTCAGAAAGCCTCCACCTTCCGAGTAAAGCAATCACTTCAATAAGTGGATTAGGGTTGGTACCGGGGTACGACAGCATGCCTGTCTGCCCAGCTTCTATGACTCCAGAAGTGAAGCTACCAGCAGATACCTCCAGATCCCCCCCACTGAGTGCTGGGCCCAGTTCAACCTGGGATGCAGAGCAGCAGTCCGACAGGGCAGTGCCCAGCTGCAGCTGCCAGCAAGAGCCAACACTGTTCTCCAATCCCAAAAAGGAAGTGGGACTATGAGTGGCACCTGGAAATTCAAGTGACCACTCTGAGCTCAGTGCAGCTTCCCCTGCCCAATCCAGA